CGACATTCGGTTCAGCACGGTCTTGCCAGCACACACCAACGGAGGTTGGGACAAAGCAATAGAGTACGAGAGACAGCCAAAGCTCGCACATCGCTCTTTTCGGTGGTCATTTTGGGACACAAACACCATGCCGAAGTTCGTCGTAGTTTTTGAAGTGCTACCTCGCGTAAGAGAGTGGTAGAGAAAGCAGAAGCGCAAAGCGTAGATGACAGGCTTTATATAGCCGTCGGTATCAGTTTTAAACAGCAACATGAGTATGCGACCTGTTTCAGATGCACACAAAGCATCCCATTGTCGTCAGGAACTTTGAAGTTTTGTACGACGGCTACATGTCTACCATGCACCCTTTTTTCGTTTCTCGGAAGTACCGGCGTTTTAATCGTAAGATGTATCATTGAGAAGTTTGCGTATAAATTCATTGCTCTCTTTTCCTTAGACATGGCATTGAATCCTTTTGGTTTTGCACTAGAGTCCAGGAGGATCGGCCATGCGATAGTTGCAGCGTACTTTTGATTTAGCACAGTCGGGCTTCGAGACATGGAAAAGAGAAAGAGAACAGAACCAAAAGATTTGTGTGTCCCTCGTATCGTCGAAACGGGACATTTTGTTGTATAGTGTGTATTTTGAATGTCAATAGCCCCTGGATGAATTCCGTTCTCAGCTCGCGCCAGGACATAATTCGACGCCCTCGATTTTTTTGGTAAGAAGACATGAAAGAGCATCTCAATATTTTGAGTTGGAGACCGAGCAGCTTGGGTTGATAAGAGGAAGACTGTGAGGTGCAGAAACGGGGTTTTATATATGTGAGCGGTCAGTGCGCTATACCAGCTTTGTTATACAAGTCATGGCCAAGTATGTTGCGGATCAGTATCCAGCATCAGTACATATCAGCGAACACCATAGTGTTAGCGCATAGTTAGTGACTGTCTGAGCAGTCTCAAACCATCAAATGACATCCTCGTGTTTTTGAAGATGAACACATGTGTTCATGTATCCGACAACAGGATAGCCAGTCTCCTCGGTCTTCTCCATGACGTGCGCAAGTACATGTTTCCAACCTGTATTTTCCGAAAAGAACATCAAAATTTTTTATGTGAATGCTGCAGCGTACACTCAAACATACGTTCAGCAGGCTCGAGTTCCTGCTCACACATAGACTGATTGTCTATGGTTTTTGTTCAAACAACGCAGAACACATCGCGCATGCTCTCGATACTCTTTGGAACACCGAAGCGTTTTCTATTGATTTTAGGGGGATAAGTACAGTGTATGAAAGGAGAATAGCAGTACCAAGTCGAGGTTTTATACCCGACCCAGCACTACTCACGCCATTTGCGATAGCTTCTACCTCTTTTCTTTTTGCGTGAAAGTGAACACTCAGTCTCATCAAATTTTTTCTCCACGCTTTTCTCACTCCGAAGACAAGGAGTTTGTGGAAGAGAGCGATGGCGAACACTTCCTAGCCATAGCCGCATCGTTGACATGTTTGGAATGCGCACACGGCATGTTGATCTGGCAATTTGGAGAAACTTCCGACGGAGAGCCCAGAGAAATTTGGATGTGACGGTCGTCTTTTGGAGGTTTGTTTTTTTGAGAAAGTAATAAAGGTAGGAGAAGAGAGAGCGTCCTTCTCAGCATAGGATTTTCAGCAGTGCAGTTTTGAAAGCTAGGAGAAACTCCACATTGGGCGGCTTTGCTGTTTTGGATATTTCAGGTTTGAAAGATGATATGGAAAGTAAGGAAGCGGCAGGCGTTGAGCTTAAGTAGGTGTCGCTGAAGGCCTGTGCGTGCGCATGCCCCAGGAACGTATTAGTAGAGAATCGCTCGAATCCGACATCACCTGATCCAAGATCTGCTTTCGCTGAAAACAGGACATTGAAAGAAATCTAAAGAGTTATCGTAGGTATCTATGCATCAGTAATCGTTCAAAACCAATCCCAGTATGCTCCGCCTCATAGCATAGCAACCACACAGCTCGCCAGTGCCAGACTTTTACATACCCATCACCTCCAACAGCCTAGACGTCTCTCCAATTCCGACTAGTCACTCGCTCTCTCGTATCCAGCCTCGGGCCTCTACCCATCTCACGATACTCTCTCGCAAGCCCACCTCTATCACTTCCCTGATCGATCATCCTCACCGCCCTCCTCTCTTCCACAAATGTAGCAGGTTGTCCATTTTCATCGATACCCCTCCAGCTTCTGGTATCATTGATCTCAGCTGAATGTGCGCTCTCCGAATCGGTATCGTCATCTTCTTGTCTTCGGCGACTAGGCGGTGGAGTCATAGAACGAGTCCGTTCGAGTGCTCGTGGGCGGGAGACATGGCGAAATAGTGGCCGCGGTGGCCGTTCAGGTGACAGAGGAGAGGGCGGAAGACGGGGTGTGCGACGTGAGGGAAGAGGAGAGATGTTCCGCACGAGTACCTCCTCAAACCGTCTTGAGGGCGGAGGAGAAGGTGAAATACGGCGCTGTCGATCAATGCGAATTTCCTCTTCGTACTCCCTTCTTGGAGATGGCGATGAGTGCCGTATACGGATCCTCTCAAAGTCCTGGGATAGTGGCTCTTGTGGAGGATCGTCTACAACCCGATGGCGGGAGTACTCTCGGTAATGCTCGTACTTGTCGCCACTCGCCAGTCGTTCGTCGGCATACCTTGATCTTCCTCTTGGCTCAAGTACTGGCTCTTCTTGCCTTCTTCCACCACCAAAGTGAACACGAGGTCCTCCGACTTCGACGCGCATGCTCTGCTGACTTTCGCGCATGGTATCTCTTCGCCTGTGGGAGGTTTCGTGCTCGGTGCCTAGGGGCTTCAGGATGCTCCGACTAGGTGAATCCAAACGGCGACGTGGCATAGAATCAGCATTGCTCGAAGTTTCATCCGACGCCTTGAGAAAGCTACGCTGCTCTGGTCCAATCGGGTGGTACGGCCTCGGATGCGACATGAGACGAGCTTCCGCTTCCTCGTTTCGCCTTTCAGCCCGGAGGCTAACACGAATTGGAGATCTACTTGCACTCCTAGTCCGACGTTCCTGAGACTCGCTCCGATAAACAACTCTCGAAGATCTCGTCGGCGGTGGGGGCGACGGACTGAGTTCGATGATCCTTGAACTTGCCCGGCGCGGTGGACTTTTCTCGAACTTCCTATAGGAGTGAGTACGGACAACGTCTGGAGGAGGCCACACCTCGTCAGATCTTGAGGTAAGACTAGGAAGTAGTGGAGGTGGCGCAGGGTACACTTCATCCGACCGTGTTTCCCTAGTGCGGACGATGTCAGGCGGGGGCCAAACTTCACCAGCATACCTTGAAGAGCGGCGAGGACTCAATGAAGAGGTTTTGAGCTTTCGTTCCGATCTAAACTCTTGTGGCGGCTGTTGAAGTACTCGCAAGCCCAGGCGCGCCTGACTGGATGATCGTTTGATAATACGTGGACGACTGGGAGAGTATCGCGAGACATAGATCTCCTCTCTATCTTGTCTTCGGCCCCTACGCTCGTCATGGTCGATGTCGATGTGGACACATTCTTTAGGCCAGTCGCAGGGTTCCTCGGCCGTACATCTTCGAATGTACCTGTATCTGCTGCTTGAACGATGTGAGCCTGCAAGCTTCTTTTTGCACCTTCGACAGGGTGTGGGGATCATGGGCTTGCCAGGAAGGACCGGGTTATTGCGATGGAAACCTGCGGAGCGCATCTCGCCGCAGTGGCTGCAGGTGTGACAGAGCATAACTGGCACAGCCAATTCTTCTACCTGCGGGGGTGGTGCTTGCGCAGCATGTGATCGACCGTATTGTTCGTAGTGGTATTGCTCGCTTGTCTGCCTCGATCTTGACTCCATGATCTCCTGCTGCGTATTGCGTGAGGATGGTACCATCGCGCTCGTAAGAGGAGCGACTCGTCGACGTTCTATTCCAGAACCTAGATTGCTATGCTGCCAGTCGGCGTTGTACCCTGGCGGAGGCGGTGGTCGTGCGTCGTAGCCCTGAGGAATATGAGCGTGCCCTTGTCGTCCGGCTACTGGCGGTGCCTGCTGTTGATCCTGTTGTTGTGACTGAGGGCTTAGGAGCGGTGGTGGGCGCTGTGGGATCCCCAGATGATTGTACACGCCCTGGCCGTATCCACCCTGCTGAGGGTATCCAGCCTGTTGAGGGTATCCAGCCTGTTGAGGGTATCCAGCTTGCTGAGGGTATCCAGCTTGTTGAGGATAGCCTCCCTGGTATCCGGGAAAAGAAGCGACGGACGAGGCAGCTGGCGGAGGCGTGGGTGCTGCGGGAGGGACTCCGAGCCCTTGGAATTGCTACACGGTGGGTAAGCCAAGTTCTATATTTGCTGACGCACTGCGCGCGGGCGTCGATGAGATGGGGCCGAACATGATTACGTCTATTCTTGCTGTCAGCCAACTTCTGGTCTCAGGCGACAATGGCGCACTTACACATTGTAAAGATACGAATTGGCTGGCCGTGCGAAGGAGCCGGGGTACTGAGGAATTGGCTGGCCCTGATCTTGGCCTTGCCCGTTACTGCCACTGCCGCCAGTGCGGCCCATATACGACTCAAAGGCCCTTCTCTGTTCTTCGTTCGCCATATTGTGGTTTGAGCAGGTGCGGACGTGCGACTCGAAGGCGGAGGGAAGCCGGAGGACTGGCCCTGGTCGTGGGTCCCACGTGGGCGACCGGGAAAGCGCGAGCAGGTGTTAAGAGGAAGGAGCGACAGAGAGAGATGTGGGGTAGACAAATGATAGTTGGAAAAGCATGTGAGAAAGCATGTCGACGAACGTGGAGTCAAAGTGAAAGAGCAGACGCACAAGCAGGATTGCGCGACTGCGAAACCGCATCTCCAATCATAACAGTCGATCTCACCGCAACTCACCTCAAGGATACCGACAATGGGACTTAATATTCTTTTATTTCTTCCCAGACACCCGCCTGCGAACAATGCCATTGTGGCTTCTTATTTGTACAAATGCTATAGATCTCTAGCAAGATTTTGATACGACCACCACATCTACTCAACTCTCAATACCCTAGGTCCCTTCCTCTTGGTGGACCGCTTCTTCTTGTGGCCCTTGTCGAACGATACGGCGCTTTGATGGTCGCGACCAAAGTTGTCAAGATCCTTGACCTTGTAGATCCTGATGATCCAGTTCTCGCTGGTAAAGGCCTCCTCGATGGTGCTGAGCTCGGGGCCCTGTGCGGGAAGGCGCGCGCCACGGACACGGTCCTGGGCTTGTCCGGCGGGGAACAGCGCGTTGTAGTTGTAGTAGGACATCTTGTACCTGTTATGCTGTCAGTAGCTGCTGGAGTTGGTGGGACTAAATCACTTACATCAAGCTGTTCTTCATAGTGGGGGTGGCCTCCTCGTCCACACGGTACTCGCCTCGTGGAGTGAAGAAGTTGCGCTCCTTGACCTCATCGGGCCAGATACCCTCGGCAATCCTGACCATCCAGAGGAACTTGTTGATGTCGTCCCCAGAGTAGCCAAGTAGACCACCAAAGACGACCAGTACGTAATCAACCTCGTGTTGACGCATGATGGGGTAGCTGACCTCCTCCCTGGAGCTCATAGCCTTACCGACGGTAGCGATGTGCGTGTTGTTCCAGGTGTTGTTGTCGACAAGGGTTGGGCGGTCGGCCATACCACCAATCTGGTATCCGTAGTCCCACCAGGACATGATCTTGGCGTTCTGGGGGGTGTTCTGCCTGAGCCAGTAGTATGCCTCACGGTAGTCATCGATGATGTGTTGGCTACCGTCAGGAAGTCTGGATGCGAGCACGACGGAGGGCGAAGAGTAGGCGTTCGAAGTGACCCATGTGCAGTGCAGAACGAACAGCATGAGGTAGATGGCGGCGGTTCCGGCGACGGTAAGCTTGGAGGCATACGAGTAGATGCCGACGAGCGGGTTGCGTGTAGATCGGAGACCCTCGGGAAGGATAGCTGCAGCAGCGACTGCAGCGGTATCGGTGCTGCCGTTCTCGGTGACGGGCTTGGGGGTCTTGACGTCGAGGTAGGTGTCGAGAATCTGCGAGAAAGCGATTGCCGATGCAACGCAGACAATGGGAGTCAAAGTGAGCATGAGACGGACCATGACACCAGCGAAGTAACTGGCGAGCACAGCGTAGATGACAATGAAGACCTGCTCGTCGGTCAAAGTGCGGAAGCACAGGTAGACACCGGCGGGGAAGAGCCAGATCATCATGTTGAGATCGAAGAAGAAAGCGGGCCATGCGGTAGGCTGATGCTCGGAAACGGAGGCAATGATGGGAATGTGAATCTTGGCGTATCCGGTATCCCAGAGCGAGTAGAAACGGCCAGTCCAGGGCGCAATGACACCAGAGACGGTGAGAAGCACCAGTCCTCCGACACCGATGAGGAAGACACTCAGAACCAGAGCGCGGAGCAGCGTCTGGAACTGCTTGCCGGGAAGCTGTGCGCGAACCCAGTCGACAAAGGCCACCAGCTGGAGGAGGCCAAAGACACCGAGCGCGGACATGTGCTCGCTACTGCGGATAGGCAGGAAACCGACGAAGGGAATCTGCATACTCGCAAGCGTACCGAGCGCATACCACGAAGTGTAGCTGACGTACAATCTCGGGCTGTATCGTCCCATGCAGATCAAGACGAAAGCGTGCAGGGGCAGCAAGTTGGTGATGAAGACGTATCCACCCCACGCTGACACCATGTATCCGTAGAACAGCGCAGTCAATGCACCCCAGAACATGGATCCGAGCTTGACTGCCTTGATCCACAGGAAGAAGGTAAAGACGAGCAGGAAGATGGCAATGGCCTCGTTATCGTAACTTCCAGCGACGGATCGCGAGATGTAACCGGGGGTGATGCCCATGAAGGCTGCGGCGAGCAGACCGGCCGAGGGCGACGGGACCATCTCGGAGGTCAGGAGGTAGGTCGCGAGCGCGGTAAGACCTGAGAAGGCAGGCGCGAGGAGGACACAGATGTTTCGAATGTCGACGGGCATGGCGAGAGCGCGGAGGGCGTGGTAGATGACACCGCTGGTGACCATCAGTCCGGGGTAGAGAGTACCACCCGTGACTCGTCCAAGAGGGTGCCATGTTCCTGCATTCCATGTCAGTCCGTTGTAGCTACATGGCATTGGGGCATGCGGCGGAGATGCGTACGGTCGTCGAACCAGTCCCAGAAGCTGTAGAAGCCATTCTGTACCAGGTATTTCGTCGCTCGGAAGTTGAACCACGGATCGACTGCATTGCATAATCAGTCAATTGCCCTTCCATTCCCCAATTGTAGTACTGACACTCGTGGATGATGCTCTCAAAGCGGATTACGGAGAACAGACGACTGCTTACGGCGGCGGCAGCGATGAGGCACAGGATAATGACCCGGAGCAAGCCTCGAGTATTGCGGCCGGTCGCCTGCTTGAGAAGCTGCCCGTCATCTACGGCGGCGGCCATGTTTGCAGGAGAAGTTAAGGAAGGTGAGGTTGTTGGTCGCAAGGCCGCGTCACGGAACTTCTCGAGAGCTATGCTTCATGAGCACACGTTTCCAACTCCACGCCTCGGCATTTGGTTTCGCCGACCTTCAACATCCCTGCAACGTCATCACTATCACCATGTCCGCGACAGCCACGGAGCGCCGTTCAACACACAACATTCTTTCACTTTATGTCGATTCACATATGCGAAAATTGTCTACTGGGAATCTGGATCTGCGCTCTGAGATATCACTAGTCTGCGCAAAAGAAATCCATCATGAAAGTCTCCATCTCTTCAACACTGCAACTGGCGCAGACGCGATGGTTGCAGTTGGCGCAAGCAACATCTACAACACCGCAAGGGTTCTGACATACGCACTGTATTTATTAGCATTGTTGCAAATAGCCGAGACAGGTAACTTACACAATAGCGATTTGTTACTAGGGTCTTTTGTCTTCGCTTTGGGTGTCGTTCGCCATATGCCGAATCTTCTGAACGCTGTCGTTTTACTGCAGTTCCTAGCGCGATATCACCTGCAAGTGGCGAGGGCCGCATCGATGCATGGCTTGACATCGGCATCTTGGGCATGTTGTTTGGAGGAGGCTGCGACGGGTGCGGCTGTGGAACATCGTCATCCACATCTCCAGGAGCATCCACATCGCCGTCCTTGTCCCTCTCGTCCTCATCGTCAAAGTAGTCTCGTTTCTTCTTCTCTTCGAGCAGCTCTTTCTTCGGTCGATTCTCTTCAGCACAGATCCAGTCATCGATATTTCTCCTCTCCTTCTCGAAGTGACGCGCGATGTGATCAAACCGCTCATCCCAAGCTGCATTGCGTCGCTCTTTGAGTCGCACTATGTCTTTGCACAGGCCACACCAGAAGGTACCTTGGCAGTTCTTGCCAATCCTGCGGAGGTTGACACGCTCTTGAGCAACTTCACACGCCATCTTATGCTCCCTCTCTAAGTGGTTCTTGAACGCTCCTTCGCGGTATAGATGCACACCACAGACCTGACCTGTCTGAAGTTCTTGGCCGCAGCGGAAGGCTTCCTGCTGGAAATGCTGACTGTTCTCGTGGCGCTTCCAATCTGACTTTGCGCCAAAGCGTTTGTGGCACTTGGGATATGTGCATCCATAAGGCCTGTTATGTCGCTTGATATGCTTACGCAGATCGCAATCACGAGCGACCGCAAATTCGCAGCCAGACATCGGACATGTCTTGTCATTGTTTGAAGAGCTCTTGCTGGAGCGACGCTGTTCTGTGTCGGGGGTTCTTGGGCCTTTGTTGACAAGCTCAGCCATCATCTTTAACAATGCATCATTCTTCTCAGACTTGGACGGCCTCCTGGATCTATCGTCGCGATTGACCTTTTGCAGCAACTCTAGTATGCGACTCTCAATATCCACAGGCTCCGGCGAATGCAAGCGTTGTTCAGACTTCCTCTTGAGCTCTAGCGCTTGCTGCTCAGCCTTAGTCTGGGGTGCGTTGGATAAAGAAGAACCCTGTGAGGACTTTTGAATCTTGACGTGGTTACTTCCAGACGCGCCAGGAGCGGCCTTGATAGTGGAGAGAGCATCTTGTATCCCCGGTGCATTGTGCCGAGAACGAGTCATCTTCGACGTTTTCTGAACACGACTGTTGTGTGGTGCGGAAGTAAACCCAGGTCCAGAGAGCCGAGGTGGTGGCTGTGCTTTAGGCACAAACAATGAGTCCTGGCTTGGCGAAGATAGGTATCTGGCATCCTGTATCATGGGAAAGTCCATCATAGAGATGTTGCCCATCGTTGGGCTTATGGAGAAGGGAATCTCCATGCCAGCTACTGTTGACCCAATGTCCAGGGGTGTAACAGTCGTTTTACCCTCTATGGGAGAGTCGGCTCGCCTGGGACGCCATACCGATCTATCAATGTCAGCTTAGCTAACTCTTCAAGCATGAAATGTGCAAATCTACCTTTCTACGAGATCGAGTACGTTCTCATCTTTGTGCATTCTCTCAACATGCTGCTTGAAGTTGTCTAGACGTGGCCAGATTTTCTCTTTGTTCCTACAATCCTCCACAGCACACTGATAGGACTTCTTGTCAATGTCCTTCCGATGTAGGCTTTTCTGATGCCGCTCAAGATCGTTCGTAGTTGTGAATCCCTCTACCCTTTTGCAGCCGGGTACGTCACACTTGAAGGGTTTGCTGTGTTTGAGCATGTGTTTCCTGTCACTTTCATCAGCACATGGTCATCTTATAGTGATGCCCATACGCACTTGAACTCTGAGTTGCACTTGAGTACTTCTGAGCACTCATAGCATGGAAAGTCTTTCTTTGACCTCGACCTCCCACTACGACTGCTGACATGGGATCGTTGATCTGAAGGCATCCGTGACATCGTAGGAGCCTCGCTTGTGGCAGACTCGACATGCATGTTGTTAATATCTGACATGAAACTTGCCGATAGTTCCTGATGGAGATGATCGGGATCATTGCTTATGACCGACTTGGTGTTCCGCGAAACGTAACCCTCGTCAGATGGCAAAGCCTGACTCTCAATGTCAGACCCCGGACTCCATGGGAACTGGAAATTCACATTCGATCGAGGGGAAAGATCATGAGAGCTACCAGACTGAGATAGCCTCATATTGTACGGACTCCATGCTGGCTCCGGCCCTCTGCCTGCAGTCGGGCCATGATAAGGCCGGACATATCGTGGATCGAGAAGGTCAAAATCCCTCGGCATATGGGATCCAATACCATTATCTAACAGAGAGAGATTGGTCTGAAGATGATTCATACGATCAAAGCCTCTCGTATGTGATGAAGTCCTTGGGGTATGTAAGGAGGCTGATGAGCTAGATCTTTGGCTCCGTACACTATGTGCACTCCGTGGTTGTTGGGAAAACGTGCTCTGCTGCGTCTGCACAGGATCTATGTGCAATGCAGGTATCTGGCGGCCATAGTATTGGTTGGGAACTGAAATGTTATACGACTGTTGATAGTCCCCGTTCTGGTTGTGGAGTGACATGTTCACTATCATGGGTCAGCATCTTTCGGGGCTGCCTCAGGCACCAACATGCCACCCAATTCATCCCAACCAGCTCTCGAACATGGAAAGAGGCATCATCGTCGTACAAGCATCAGTATATAAGTAGAGACAAGAAGAGAAATAAGAGTATAGAAAAGGCAACAACAACACACACCTCTAATCTCAGATCGTCAGCCTGCTGCGATGTGGAAGCCTTACGCCTGCCTCAAGGAACGCCGTACGCAAACCGTTTCAGAGGAACAGGCGCGCAGCTGTGCATTAGTAGATTCCAGCTGCAGCACACCGCCCCAATCTGCTAAGATGACAAGCCAGATGGGTACATGTAACAGGTAATGTGTGTGAGGTCCTCCGTTTCGTGTCCATGCGCACGGACATGCGCTGCCTGCCGGTGAGATATGAGGAAAGGCTTCGATACCAAGACGCTGTCACCTCATCGCGTGCACTTGCCCTGCACTGGCTGTATTGGAGGACTTCGATTCGAGATGGGTAAAAAGGGGACTGTAGTATGTCGTCACGGTTTCTTTCCACACGCAGTGGTTATCGCAGTTGGATGCCTGTGATCGCGATGGCGAGGTTGCGCCGCATGTGGGCGGCCTCCCAGTCCTCCTCGCGCAGGGGCGCTACCAGGAAGGCGACCGGTGCCCTCTTTGCCCTCTTTCTCTTTCTGACAGCTCATTCGTGCTGGGGCTGCACCTAGCGAGCCGTTCACCGAATTGCAGATGGAGGACTCCAAGTTGCGGGTGGCTGTGTTGAGAGTCCTCCATGTGCGTGGGAGACGCATGCAGCCAATCACAGTCTCGGACCGGGTTCCTCCCCGGCGGCGCGATCGATTTAGCACGCCGCGCTGATGTGTGTATGACAGGGCGCGGGGGCTGGAAGTTTGAAAATAAGTCAGGCATTGCACTCGCGCAAAGGAGTTTTAGTGGCGCTGGCGATGGCTGTCGTGCAATCACGCCTTTGTGGAGTGGAAGGTACCTAGGGGCTTTAAGTGGGTCGCAGCTTCCAGTCTACGATGTATCTACGATGTATCTCACCAATGGTACTATATCGTATGGAGCGAACAACAAAGTATGGAAAATCGAGGCATTGAGAAATTGATGCAATTAACGCGCCGATGTCTATAGTACCATGCATGCCTATTGCACCATCAGATGCGACAATGTAGTCGATCCAATTCGAATCCGAAGCGACAGTAGGTATCGTAACGCGTCTAAACCAAATTCGCCTCGTAAACATGAAAACCTCTTCCGCTGTGCAAGAGTGGATATCGTACGAAATCAAAGTGAGCCAAAACAAAATCAGACCCTACGCCTGTACTATGGGCGTGTCGATCGAAACCCCTCCCATAATCCATCCCCGTCTATTGCTGATGTTGGTATTGATAGTTGTGTTGTGCCGTCAGATACGACATGGCAGGGTAGGTGCTGCCTTGTTGGTAAGACATAGCGTTGTTGGTATCGTAACCCATATTCGGCATCTCAGTCGTCAAGCCCTGCGGCTCTTGGGTGTAGTAGGAAGGAAAAGGTGTAGTCGTAGCGTCGACCGGAGAGTCCGTGTACAGCGATTGCTGTTGTTGAACAGTATTAACAGGATTCATGCCATACTGTTGTACCCCATTCTGCATATTCCCATTCTGGTATGGCTGACTAGGAATTTGCAGCCCGTTCGTATAGCCATTGTGTGGCTTCCGAGGGACCTGGAGGCCTGGGTAGGTCTGGTTCGTGAAATTTGTGGCATTGTTTGCCACATAGTTCGCATAACCGCTAGTCTGAGTCGGTGGCGGTGCCATTTGCGGTGGGGGGTAGGTTTGCATCGGCGTAGATCCTGCCTGAGATTTTGTTTCCTGAGGGTAAAGACTGCGAGGGTCGATACCAGGTGCATATGCGGCATTAGGATTGTAGCGCGACGGGTTATCTAGTGGCGAACGGCCTGGAGTGATGGAGAGCTTGCGGCTTTCGGGTAGCTCTACCACGGGGCTAATGATGCTGTCCGCGTTGAGCTGCTTCTGGTCCACAAGCGTAAGAATGGGCATGCTGAGCTGCTCCATGTGTTTTGCCAAGTGAACAGTCAATTTCTTCCAGCTCGTACAGATGTTGCCACAAAACCGGCATGGCTCGTCCTTGGGTTGCTTAGTCGTGTCGCGACGACATCTTTCGACAATGGCCCAAATGTCATCTGCCTTGGCGTTAGCGAGATCTCAAACAAAAAGACTTGCCCGTCTCACCCTGGTCACCATTTACTGTCGCGTCTTTGTGAGCGGCTCGGGTACGTTGCCGTGGCTCAGCTATCTTGTGCTCACGAACGAGATGCTGCACGAAGTTGTCCTTGCGGTAGCAGGTATGGTTGCAGTCTGCAATCTGACATGTCCAGTTCTCCAGCTGACGGTGTCGCTCGTTCTCGTGTCTGACCCAGTCCGCCTTGCGCTTGAATGATTTCGGTTCCCCGCAATTGGGGAAGGTGCACGTGAAAGGCTGTACGTCTTCATGCACATGTTTGGTCCAATCGGACGGCTTGTAGAACTTTTTGACCTTGAAGCACAACGTGCATTCGAACTCGGCTGGTAGGCGCTTGACAGGGGGAAGGGGTACGCCTGATGGGAAGGCGGCAGGAGCCACATTACCTTCTAGTGGGGGCTCGCCATCGTCGTCGGAAGAACCAGGTGCAGTGACCTGGAAACCGATAAAAGGAGTTTCGGCATCCTTGGCGCCAGCTTTCGGAGGGAGTTGCTTCGCCTCACCACCGAGGTCAGTACAAAACTTTGCAGAGGCACAATTCTTATGCTGTACGGCGTTGAGATGCTTGACCTTGAACTCCAATAATCTTTTGTATCTGCGCATCTGCTCCTGGGTGATACGCTCAACCATGAAATCAGCCAGGCGTGGATTAAGTTGTCTAGCATGACTTCTGAAGCCGTCGTACGTTGGGACAATGGGATCGGTGCGGACTGTGAGATCCATACTAACGGGGTCTTGGTCATCTTCATCATCGTCTCCAGCTGGACTTGGCTGTGCGGAAGGCTTCGTGGCCTCTGTGTCCGCGAGCGGTGAAGCTAACATAGGCATCGGTGGACCTCCGTGCTGCGTCATCAGCTCAGCCAGCCCAGGCGATCTCCCTCTCCCGATATCGCTCCTGCTTCGAGTACGTCTGATGGCATTTTTGGGACCTTTGTACCACGGGCCCGCTGCCGCAGACAGACCTACTGAACTAAGTTGTCCTCCGTCCTTGCTATGACTGCTTAGGTTTGTATCAACTCGAGGAGATTTTGGACGACCCCAACTACCTATACGTTTCGGCTTCTCGATGATGGGCTCCTTGGACTTGTCCGAGGCTGCATCAGACTGTTGCACTGGTATACTGCCCTTGCGCTTGAGTATATTGCTTGGTGTACGTTTGGGTAGAATGTTTTCCAAGAAGCTGGGCCGCCGTTGTCGCTCCTTGCTCTTTCTTGGCTCGGGTTCGATGACTTTGATAACACCGGGAGCTGCACGTATGCTACCAATATCAGACTCGCTGAGACGGCGTGAGCCAACGGTTGCCGCAAGTGAGGCTTGTTCAACGTCCTTTGCTCGCACCAAGAAGCGCATCATCGCAGCATTGGATGTGGGCGGCTGATATCGAGCCGATGGGTTTGGCGGGTGTGGCTGCAACGGTCCATCTACCCATGGCTTGACAGCAGTACCATCCTTTGGTATAAGTTCTTGTGTCGGAGGAAAGTACGAGTTTTCTGTATGGCTTGCGTTGATATCGATCGCAGCGGGTGGGGATTCAGGTTCTGCCGACTCGTCATCGTCGTAATCGTAGTCACCGTAATCGCTTCGTTCGTCAATGTACACCCCAGGTCCAGGTATGCCCGAATCATCTATACGGTCGAAATTGGTACGCACACCCAGCCCGAAGCTATCTGGGAGAGCCCGGCGTTGAATGTCGTTGTGACTCTTCGCTCGACGCCGACCTGTGATGGGCTTGAGTAGATCGTTCGAAGGCCCTACTTCGCCTGCCTCGCTTCCGAGCTCACTCTTAGTGAGCCACTCCTGCACTTCAAGCTTCTTCTCATTCTTCGAGCGTTGCTCAGCAATTTCCTCGATACTGGGGATCCATACGTCACCCATCCGGCGGCGCTCGTCAGGATTGATACCGTTCTGCCCCAAATGTCCTGTCGTGAGCCAGGAGCCGTCCTCGTTGCGATCGGGTCCACGGACTCCTGGTCGCGAACGCACGTTCTCCTGAGGCTCCGCTTCACCATCGGAATCATCGTTATGCGCATACGGTGATAGGTGATTACCAGAATGACGACTGCCATAGCTGTGCTTGCTGGCAGGCATGCTATTGTCGGAACGCGAAGGCGAATCTTCTCTGCTATAGTTCTCCACACGTACAATGGGACTCGTCAAGTGTCGCGTGAGAGGCCTTGGGTTTGCCATGGAAACATTTCCGGGACTATTCGTCAGAGCTGGACTGTGGGTTTGCTTGATAGGTGTTGTATGCGGTAGATGATTCGCTTGGTTTGGCGGCGTCGACATGTTCCCGTTGTACTGCATAGAGGGGAAGGCTGAGCTCTCATCGCCTAGTGCCGGACTGGAATTGTTTGTCGCACTGGGCGACATTAATTGATGGTGCAGGTTTAGCGAAGTGTTATTGAGGTGGTTGCTTGGCTGAGCGTTGTACGTGTTCAGCGTCCCTGAGGTCAAGGCTGACATGTCAACATGCTCTTGGAATGCCGGAAAATTACTGGCCGAACCGTTATCGGCAAAAGTCAGGCCAGAGAATTCATCGAGAACGTGTCCATTGAAATTTGGTGTTGCATAAGCGCTGAGATCGTGGTGACTGGGATCGCTCATGTAACCTGTTTCTGGGCTAAAATGCTCGACTGAATGCGAGGGGGAGATGTTCTGTCCGTTTCCGTAGTAGGATCCCGGAGAAAGACCGTAGTTTTGAACTTGATTGTAGGCATTCGATGGTGGATATGACATGTCCGGATGTAATGAGGAGTCGAGAGAGGATCCAACGTTGGGAGTGAAGATGGATTCCTGCCCAGGGGTGCTGGATGAGGGAAGCGATATCATGGACCCATCGTAAACCATGGATGTCGGCTCTGCAGAGTACGTGAATGTGCCTTGCGCGTCTGGCATTAGGAAGTTGCCGCCAGTAGGCGCAAGTTGATAGCCGCTAGTCTGCACATCCTGAGGGTGGCGTGGCTGACGCCGAGGGTCCTGGTAGGGCTGTGTATGCGTATCGACTGCTTGCATGATTATTTTGGCTGTAACGAACAACCTGAAAGTGGAGTCGATAGTAGATTAGGTCGCGACGATTAACAAATGGTTGCGACGGGCAGGTGGTGTGGAGGGTAACGTGACTGTAGCCAGCGCTGCTTAGGGCGGCATAGTGCTGCCTGAAGGCTACTGATGTTGAATATTGCGAAAGTCAGAAAACCAGATGAGTGGAAAGTGTCGCAGCGCGTCCGATTACCCAGATAGGTTGGTGGGATGGCGGAACGAGGGAGAGAAATATCGCAGTGCGGCTGAAAGCGAAAGAGGACAGGCTGCTGTAGCTTGAAGCTGGATGGCGATCTGCCTCGCACAGGACGGAAGTTTGGAGCCGTTGAGGCTAGAGGCAGTGCCGGCACTCTACGATGTTGACAGCTTCAGGGTGGGTCGCGAGCGAAATCGGGAGACGGCGCGCGCGAACAACAGAGAAGCGACGTAAAGTGCTTGGATGGTTGGTAGAAACAGAGTGGATTTCGATGTCGACGGTGGAGCCAGCGGCAGCAACGAGCGAAAGTCGAGGCACCGGTCAAGGCTGATTCCCCCCAAGATCTCCAGAATGGTAAGACCGGGGTAGAGCGATGCACGCCAAGCAGAGGTTCGCCGTCTCGAAACAATGTGGGCGCAGGCAGTCCAGATGTCTATGAGGTCGTGAGAAAGAGGCAGAACGACCGAAAACAAGCGCGACGGCGCGACGGTAGCTGTGAGCTTGACTGGCGTCTCGAGGCAGATTTGCAGATGCGTGACACGCTCTTGGCAGGCTTGATACAAACGGCACAGCCTCAGTTGCTATACAGAAGCGGGAGCAGGGGGCTGAACATGGGGCGAGCGGGTGGCTATGCTTCAAGATGATATCCTCATGGCGAATTCAACCTGCTATGCGTGATGCTTGTAGTAACTCCTGTCATCAAAATCTACTGAGGCGGTCACTCCAAACCGCGCTCGAGGTGCGAAACATGCAGCGGCCTTTGTTGTGCGCCCGCGTAGGCTGGCGCTTAGCTGTTTAGCAGCCGAACGCTGATGCTATATAAAGGCAGGCCAAGCCTAGAACTGCTCTTCTGGAGAGCATACCAGCGACGTAGCAAGCCTGCTAGTAATCAGACGCGTGCGATGGACAGCACGGATGAGGTTGCGCTGCTGTTCGCGTCGCTGATTTGCGAATGTCGCGATGTGACGGCATATAGTAGCATGGACTGCCTTGCATGATCAGCGATTCAGCCACGCCTAGAGATGAAGCTTTCCTAGCCACGTCGCAAGCGGATAAGGTAGTGGCTGGCCCCAATTTTGGATTATGAGCGAAGCCGGATGGTCTCCCGGGCTGTTGTGGGGCTCACGGGAATATGGCGAAGGAGCACATCGACCTGCTGTCTTCAGCGTACACTACCTTGATCTAGGCTAGGTCTCGAGAACCATGCTGTCATGTTGCTGCGGGCGAGTAGTATGGCGGAAATGGCAGGATCGCTTCGCCTGGAAACGATACAAGTATAGTGCGCCGCACTCATAGGTTGTGATATATAGCTGCGAGTGCCGCATACTGTGGTAGACGCCGAAGCCACGAGTGACAGCAATGGTCTGATTTCAGTGGCCATGAAACGCGCCGCTGGGTCTAGCGGGCTATGCATATAGTCCTCATCGCGAGATTGTTAAGGTAGCAGTCGAGTTGGCATGCCGGCGCCAGGTGAGACGCAGCCGCAGGCGGAAGATCCGAGCCAGGCTATGGATGTCGCAACAGCTTTTCGAGTACTACTACCGGAACATGTAAGGTACCCGGAATGAGGGTCTTGTGCAGATGTTGTGTCGATCCAGGGCTGGCGATCGCAAAAGCTGACGTCACTGCAGGCCTCTCCCACGGACTTTTGATGCCATCGTGAAATAGAGCGTACCTGGTATTGAAGTGCTTGTGCAGGTTGGATGTACCGAACATGTACTGCAGATGTCTGCTTACCCTACCTTGGAATGGTGAGGCCAGGACCGGTAAAACAACCTCAAGCCGACGGAATAATTTCTTGCGAGCCTTGGAATCTTTGTCGAGGAAAGTCCGCGAGCTCTGGGCGCATCGGGGCATGGGATGTAGAGTGTGTCTGATTGATGAGGCTCGGAGATGGGGCTAACCATTTCCATGGTCGCGATCCAGGCGTGCGGGCAATCGCAACCGGTGTGTCTAACGGCAGTCACCCTTCGGTGGAGCGGAGGCTAACAACAGCAGCATCCACTCTTTCTGCAGCACCGCTGGACGCGAAAATGGAACGAGATGTGCCTCAGAGCGCTTCTTCTTCCTCTTCCTTTTTCACTCCAGTCCTACAGTCTGCCAGTTGTCGCTTCCTCTCTTCCCCGCATCTGCGTCAGCGAATTTCAGCGCGTCACTGGCCACATTCGCATGTGATAGCATCACCAGACGGAGCCCGCACCCTACACGCAGCACGAACAGCACCACAGAGCATTGGAGCGTTGCACAACACCTAATAGTACTGTGCTAGCGGCAAGCGCCTGAAGTGTACGGGCTTCTGCAAAACAATAAAGACGCGAAAAGCACAAAGCCTACGAAACGTCCTAGGCTTGTCTATTACGGCGTCTTGCTTAGGAGCAATCGACCCTACGATCGCAGTACAAGATACTGGACGCTCCTTGTATTCTCGAGTGGGTATAATCAGCGCGATCAACCTTTCACACCATACCCAACTTATCTTTTCACACCGCTGCCATGCCTGGGCTCAACGAAACCATCTTACGGCCCGATTCCAGGGAACTGCTCCCACCACTGCTGGCCTGTCTGTCGACAGCAAATGCTTCCAAAGACGTACCTCCGGGTCTTCTACCCCTTCTATCGCCTATCCTCCGCCAACGCGTACAGCTTCTGTCTTCCAACGAGTGGTTGTCGCTGTTGTGCTGGGACCGAGACATCGCGTCACGACTACCGCAAATCATCGAGAAGATAAATGTCGAACCTCACCCAGCTTCCGGCGAGATTGAAGTGGAGGAACCAGATCAGATACTGTACCGACGATCAGACCCCGAGACCCTACACGCCAAGTTGATACTGGGTGAATATGGAATCATCCCAACATACCTCTGGTGCACTGGTGGAGAAGGCGGAAGCCGCTGGCTACTGGCTGAGCTGAGAGGAACAGAAGACGTTGACGATGGCACCGAGTGGTTCGAGAACGTTCCCACTGCTGACGAGGCTGGCTTCAGGCGCAAGTCTGTGTCGGTCAAGAGCAACGGCGTCGCACCCTACCAAGCCGTGGTCCAACCCGCACCCGCTGCGGAGGAAGCAGAAGAAGAGGACGACGGGTCTTATTGGGCTGCATACGACCAGACGCCCGGGCGAACACCACAGCCTAGGCGATCCCCCGCGCCAGGAACCAGCGGCCGGACGCAGATCGGACCATCGCAGTCAGAGCTCGAGTACTTCGAGCGCTACGCGTCGGAAGTGCAGCCAGCACTCGATGCGCACGACCCAGACGAAGAGGAGCCTGCAGCTGGCGAGTCGACACTCAATGGCAATGCTCTCAGCTACACACGCGAACCGCAGACCGAGCCCCTCGACACAACGAACCTGGGCCCGAACGGCTACGACTCGTCGATGCCACCGGCACACACAAGCGGTCTCCTGAATGGCAGCGGTGTTCATGGCAACGACAGCGCGGTACATCTCGAGTCCATTGAGCAGGACCAAGGCGCTACCGCAAACGCTCTGAACCACCCCCGGCCCTCTTCTTCGGCATCGACCAACTCGGTCGAGAGGCTAGAGCGAAAGGCAGAGAACTACAGCCAGGCCGAGCTTGCGATCAAGCAACATATCAGCACGGATATCAAGAGCCTGTTCCGGTTGGCGAGAGCATCGGGCATAGACAGGGAGGAGTTTGAGAGAATTATCCAGAGGGAGCTTGAGGTATTGCCCATGCTTGAGCAGGAGATGTCATAACTTGGGCCATGTAGGAGGGCCAGATTGGATAGTAGGAAACGACCAAGAGGTTGGTTTCATGGGCATTTGTTGGCGTTTAACATAGCTTAGCCATTGCATAGTATTCCTAGATAGCGAAAATGACGTTCGCAGCAAAGAAAGGCTTTGTCCATGCCCCGCCAAACCATTGTGACGCTTTTGCCGTTCCTTCAAAGCAAGATGGTCCACGTAAAGTTGCCGACACCTCAACGCCAGTCTCCTTTCCTTCCTGAGCCCCAACCACCCTTATATGATCCTCTACCGCCTTCTCTGCGCATCGCCACTCGCAAACTTAGCACCACTTGCTTTGAGTTGCTGCAAGATGTCCACCGCATTCGAGCTGTTCAGGTTCATCGTCTGGTCCATGCCCGCACTTCCGCGACCGATCTCCTCTACCACGTTGTTGGGGTCCGCAGCGCCGATCACGGGCACTTCAGAAGCGAGCCATTGCTGGAAGGGTTTCGCGACAAAGTAGCCATCCGAGGTAAACCACCGGGTCAGGGGCGCGCGGATGTGGATCGTTTGTTTGGGATTCGAGGCGTAGGGGGCGGGTGTGAAGACGACGTCGCATTCGTAGATTGGAATGTGCTTCTTTGTGGAAGACGATATCCTCACCTTGATGTTGTCAGTATTCTTTAACACATAGGTACGGAAATGGGGCATGTGAACATACCCTGCCTGTCTTGCCCTCTCCCTCATACACTACACCCTTCTCCACGAACCATAGCCAATAGCTGAATGCAGTGTTCAGAAGAAAGTATGCGACGACAGCAGGCAGTGTGTAGGGCTTGCTGGCTTCCCAGCCGAACTTCCAGTCGTAGTAGAAGAGTGCGCCGGCGATGGTAACGGCCGTGTAGCCGAGGACTAACCGCACATCGGTCTGTGTGTGGATCTGCTTGAACTTGAGGCTATTGAGGTAGTTGGGGAGGGCATCGTCGGTCGTGTTCTTGAGGTCTGATCGCGAGTATTAGATATGGTCTGTAGGCGAATGCATAGATGGTTGCGATGGCGGGAATGAAAGCATACCGGCGAGGGAGTGGAC